TATGCCGTTCTCGCCAGCCACGCCGTCAGTCTCGTCACTTCGATCGCACCCACACCGAGTGCGAACGCTCTTGCGATCGACAAAGGGCTGTCTGCAGACCATGACCCCCACCCCCCACACACCACACACACCCACCAATGTGTCTGTGTCTCTCTCTGTGTGTGGGGGGGAGGGCTGTGGGGTGCTCACCATCCACTGCGAGTGGTGGTGGTAATGAGCATGCGGCGGCGATCTGCATGGCGATCGTCATGGCGGCCGCCTGCAGGAGAGCGAACTCGGTGTGGACGGTGTTGGTGTAGACGTAAAGCGCTGCACAGAGAGAGAGAGAGAGAGAGGGAGAGAGTCACAGAGAGAGAGAGTGAAGCCAGAAACCGCCCGTGGGCGTACATACCAGCAAAGAAAGTCGCAACGCCTAGATACGCCCGCGGCACCGTGACCGTCACGGTGCCGTCCTCTCTGCCGCTCCCGAGGTGAGTCCGCCAGATGAGGGCGGTTGCGATGGCGATGGCCAGCAGCACGACCAAAAGCACAAACTGCATGCAGTCAAGATACCCAAACCTACACACACACACGCACAGAGAGAGAGAGAGTGTGTGTGGGTGTTTCTCTGCATGTCCACAGGAGGGCTTACGAGCGATAAAAGACCGACGTCTCAGCAACGCTCGGCAAGTCCACTCCCGAAAGCACCTCCGACATCATCCTGGTCTCCCGCTTAGAGGCGGCCGTCTGCCCTGTCGGCTGCTGGGTGCCACTGCCGACCTTGGGCGACATCTGCCCTCCCATCCTGAAGACCGGCGTGTGATCGATGGCCTTGCACTCCCCCACAATCCCCTCGTCAGACCCCACACTCCCGCACTCTTCGTCAAAGCCTTCATCATCGGCCGGGGCTGCTGCTGCTGGTGCTACTGCTGCTGGTGCTGCTGGCTTTGTTCGTTCTGGTGATGGTGATGGTGATGGTGGCTCGATAACGATTACGACCTCATCGGCGTCGGCACTGTCGTTGGCCGCTTGTGTGTGTGAGTGGGAGTGGGAGTGGGAGTCGCAGCACTGCGGGGAAGGCTCACATGTTGACTGAGTGTCATACCGGAGCGGCTGTTTGGGGTGGCTGCATGAGGGCTCTCCCTCTCCATGGTCTCTCGCATGGTCTTCTCCTTCCCGCAGCAGCAACAGCCGACACTCTCCCTCCCCCTCCCGAGCTCCCTCCCCCTCCTCCCGTCCCTCCGAGCCGCCCTCGTGCCGAATGTGTGCCGTCGGAGCTCCTCCATTCCCCCCTGTTGCTTGTGCCGGTGACGGCGAGTGGGGGCACGTTGAAAGCGGCGAAGGGGTCGTCAGAGGCGGCGAGGAGCCATCTCTCGGTGCGCCTAGCGCAGAATTGCCATCGGGGCCGCCGTACTTGCCTCTCATTGCGCGAAATCGTTGCTGAGGATGCGAGCTTAGCAGAAGCCTCCCCCCCATCTCCCCCCCGTCTCAGAGAGGCAACACGGCTGTTTTCGCTCGTTCCCAGCCTCCTCGACGGCCTGTCATCAGGACACCTGCCCTCCCTCCCTCCCTCCGTGCCGCTCTTACCGAAAAACACACGGGGCGACTGATGCACATGACATTGACGGGTGAGTGACACGCCGAGGTGATGCATGGCGCTGTGATAACGGGCGGTGGTGGTGGTCATCTGTCTGTGTGTGTGGTGGGCTGCAGATGTCGTGTGGCGGTGCGGGGCGGCGGTGCCTGGCGACGACACTGCACTCGACCAACTGGTACGCAGAGAGAGATGGGCACACACACACATTGGGACACAGGCAGGACTCACACACACAGACGTCTGTCTGTCTGTCTGTCTGTCTGTCTGTCCTCAGTGTGTGACTGTCTGAGTGGCTCTCTGATGGCTTCGACGCGATGGCGATGATGTGTGCTGAAGGGAGAGAGATCGGCTGATGAGCCGACGGACGGGCTGACTGAACTGAACTGAATCTCTCACTATGTCGCCCTCTGATCGTATGTGCGTCGATCTCACTGTGTTGTGTTGTGGGGCTCTGTGTGTCGGTCGGTCTGGCTGCCATTGTCATCTCTCTGCCATCTCTCAAGCCTCAGCCGTCTGCTGCCATAAGTGTGTCGGCAGGCAGACAGCCACACACACATGGATGGGAGGAGAGGACACACAACGGTCTGTGTCGCCTGTGTGGGTGCAGGTCTGACTCGGTGACGGTGAAGGTGCTGTCTGTCTGTCTGTCTGTCTGTTGGGGAGGCCATGCCGATGGCGCTGGTGGGCAGCCCACTCGCGGATGGACCGACTGACTGACTGGCGCTGAGCATTTCTGTGTGTGTGTGTGTGTGTGTGTGTGTGTGCGTACGAGAGGTCGGCCGATGAGTCGACGACTGACTGACTGACTGACTCTGTGTGGTGCTGTGTGGTTTTGCTTGTCGGTCTGGCTGCCATCGCACACCCGCTCTCGACTCATCAGCCGTCTGCTGCGATGAGTGTGTCGGCTGATGAGTGGGGGGCGAGGGAGAGATGACAGACAGACAGACAGAGAGGGAGGATTGGCTGGCTGCACAAAGGAATCGCTGTGTGGGGTGGCGGTGGCCGTCTGTCTGTGTGGCAGCTGTGGCTGACGCCTGCTCGCGAGAGTGTGTTGATCTCTCGTCGATGCATCCGTCACACACGGCCGGCTCACAGACAGACAGGCCGAGACACACACACACACACACACAGAGCTGGACAGACACTCACAAAGCCACCCAGCGCCACGGAAAGCTCTCCGCCTGTCGAGTGGATGGGAGAGAGACTGACCTCTCTATCATGTCTTGTATCTGGTACCATGTTTTGGTTTCCCCTCGTGTGTGTCCTCCCCCCTCTCTGTAGGTATCTAAGTCCGTACCCGGCAACCTGAGAGCGTCAGCCCACGAAGGGTGTTGGTGCTTTGGGGTTGCCGGGCGGTGACAGAGATGCGCACACAGGGGCGGGCGAGGGAATGGACAAACACGACTGCTTACCCATCACACCAAATGAGGTAGTGGGTGTGTCTTCTTGCCATCACAGCCACTCGTGTTGATGGAGTGACGCCATCTGCGTGGGAGAGAGAGATATATATATTGGACAGAGAGTGTGAGAGAGGAAGGTCAGTCTCGTTTGTTGTGCCTGCCATTCCGTCCGCTGTTTGGCTGCCTGTTGGTGTCAGTCATGGGGCACTCGGCTGTGAGTCATGTGTGTCTGTCTGTCGGTGTGACTGAGTGGTGGCGATGATGTGTGCTGAAGGGAGACAGATCGGCCGATGCGCCGACCCCTGCTGCCCAATACGTACTGACTGCCTGGCCTTAGCTGACATTTCTCTCTCTGTCACTTTGTCTCTCTCTCGTGGCCCTTTTGCGTGTGGGTGTCGGTCGTCGACTGACGGACGACAGACAGCCGGACAACACGAGAGCTCATTATGCGGCGGTGTGCGGCGGTGTGATGATGGGCTTTGGTGTCTGCGAGCAATGGTACACCGACAGACACACAGAGAGGGAGGGACACACAGACGGACAGAGAGGGGCGGCCGATGACGTCTGTGTCTGTGTGTGTGTGAGGTGTGGTTGGTGTGGTGATTCACTCGCTGGAACAAAGCCAGACGACGGCCGAGCGGCTGCCGCTGTGAGATCGGCCGATGAGTCGACGAGCTGATGTGAGCGAATTGACTGTCTGTCTCTCTGCCGCGTGGACGGCATCGATGGACTGACGGCTGTCGTGTTTATGAGAGTGTGTTGTGTTGTGGGGTTTTGTGTGTCGGTCGGTCTGGCTGCCATTGTCATGTCTCCTTCTCGTCCCCCACTTCTCAGCCGTCTGCTGCGATGAGTGTGTCGGCTGATGAGTGGGGGGCGGGGGAGAGATGACAGACAGACAGACAGACAGGGAGGAGTGGCTGGCTGGCTGCACAAAGGAATCGCTGTGTGGGCTGGCGGTGGCCGTCTGTCTGTCTCTTGGGCGGGTGTGAGGTCTGCTCGCGAGAGTGTGTTGATCTCTCGTCGATGCATCCGTCACACACGGCCGGCTCACAGACAGACAGGCCGACACACACACACAGATAACCTGCCTGAGAGAGAGAGAGAGAGAGAGAGCTGGACAGACACTCACAAAGCCACCCAGCGCCACGGAAAGCTCTCCGCCTGTCGAGTGGATGAGAGAGAGACTGACCTCTCTATCATGTCTTGTATCGGTACCATGTGTTGATTTCCCTCGTGTGTGTCCTCCCCTCTCTCTGTGGGCATCTAGCTCTCCTCCCCGCAACGCCAGAGCGTCAGCCCGTGAACGGTGTTGGAGCTTTAGGGTTGCCGGGCGGCGACAGAGATGCGCACAGGGGGGCGGGCGAGGGAATGGAGATGCGCTGCTGTGATGATCCCATGTCGATAAACACACACTGACACCGGCGGATGGACCGATGTGCGCATCGCACTGCATGGCTTCTGTGTGCCTCTCTGTCTGTCTATTGCTGCTGTTGTGTATGTGCCTGTGGGAAGGAGAAAAAGAGAGAGACGCCGGTTTGGTTCGTCTGTCGTGTGCATCGTGTGTCGGTGTGCTGACTGTCTCGGCCTTGTTGGTCAGTTGACACAGTGAGGGTTGATCATCCCTCTCTGTGTGTGGTGGCCATCGAGCGGCTGACAGACACAGACACACACACACACACACACGCACAAAGGAGTGGCCAGGCCGTTCGTTGACTGACCTCCTCACTCTCAGGGTATCGGCTGTGTCTGTCTGATGTGACACCTCAACCACCTGAGGGCAGCTGTGTCATGTTGGGTGTCTTGCTGGTGATGTGTGTAATGCTTTTGAGTGACTGAGTGGCTGACATGTCCGCTGCGTTGAGGGGCGCTGAGTGGTGTGGGCAGTGAGCACACAGACAATGACATGAGACTCACACAGAGACACACACAGACAATCTGGATGTGTGTGTGTGGTGTGTTGTGTGGTTGAGTGAATGGGTGGCTGTGTTCGATGAGGGACGACGGGTGGGCAAGACATCAACACACACATGTGACAAGCTTTGCACGGCGAGTCCATTGACGGACAAAGGGGATTGATGTGCACACCCTCTTGTGGTGCCGTCCATCCATTCAGCCAGCCAGTGCATCCCATTATATCCACACACACCAAATGCGGCGACTTGAACAAAGAAGTAACTGCATTTCTCCCCAAATCGTCTAATCTCCTCTGTTACACCACATGCAGCATGCACTAGGTGTGTTTATGTGAGGCACACAAAAGCCAATCGAACCTCCACAAAGCACTCATCTCATCGCACGCCAAATCGAAACATCCCCCCTTCCTCATCTGCTATTCCCCACCACGTGAAGCACCTCTATCTCATCCGCTATGAAGTCATACGACCCGCCCAGATAAGCACCGCCATATTCGTTCCTCTCCCCCGTATAGCCCGCAGGCAGATAACGGCTATCGGTGACCTGCATGCAGCTGCGGATGTAAGGCCGGAATCCCAAATAAAGCCGCCCACCGATCTCCGCATTCGCCCAGCCAGACAGACTCCCCTCCCTCCCCGACACCACCACAAAGTGATCCCCTTCGTCGATGTCGATCTTGGTGGGCTTGGGGAAGTGGCCGGCCAGCGAGAAATACCAGACATCACAGTCGTACTTATGCCAGTCGGTCGGGTCGTCGGGCAGCTCCAGACCACAATTGATGAAGACGCCGAAGACGTACTTGCCCTTTCTGATGACAAACACGAGAGGCTCTGCGTCGCCCACACTGTCCAGCAGGTCATTGTAAGTGGTGCCGTCCACAGACGTCCTACGACACACACACATACACACACGCAGATCTCTCTCTCTCTCTCTCTCTCTGTGTGTGTGTGTGCGTGTGTGTGTGTGTGATTGCCTACCGGTACAGCGAGTTGAGTTCTGTGCCATTGTCACTGCCCATCAAGTCGAGCAGCGCCTCATACTCTGACGCAGACAGCGACGTGTTCTCAGGAGGGGACACCTGCACACGACGCAGACGGACCTGGACACACAAGACAGCCATGCACACCAGAGTATCGAAGGAATGGATTGATGACCTCCGTGTGTGGTGCACCTGCTGTCCCTCTGCGCCAACACACGTCAAGCTGACAGTCATCATCAGCAGCGCAGCACACGTGGAGAGCTGTGCCATCGCGTGGAGAGTCTCCGCTCGAACTGTTCGAGAGCCCAGCCCCCTTAAGCTCTCGCCGCAAATGCCACAGGGAGGCAGCGTGAGCGCAGATAGGCCTCAGTTGCTAAGGTCCACTGACCGAAGCTGCACAGAAGAAAGCGGTGCGTATTGTGATACCTGGCGATGCAGATGAGGAACAAGACAGCAGTGGGTGAGATCAGGGAGAGGAGATCAGAGAGACTCTCTCCCTCTCGGGGCTCATCGCTCGGGTGCTCTCGTTGCAGATCTCTCCACTCAGACTTCTTGTAAAGCTCTCCCCATTGACGCTCCCGCCGACTCGCCATCTTTGTGTGTGGAGGGCAGAGAGAAGGGCGGTGCGAGCTCGAGGAACAAGCTTTTCCTCTCTCAGCCCTCCGTTCTCTCACTGGATGGTCCTCTGGACTCTCACTGGACAATCTCGTGCACCGAAAAGGCCAAACGAATGTGTCAGCTTCGAGAAAAACGGCAATTCGATCGTCACTCGATCACCGACTTCCGCAAATTAATTTTCTTTTTTCATCACATTGACCGCTCCGCAGTGAGACCATTGACACGACGGAAGAGACAAACAGGCGAAAAAAACGCGGCAAAGGCTGGGGGTCTGCTGGGGCCTTTCATGCGAGCTCACCACAGAAGGCCCAGCTCGTGGGGTTCAGGGTAGAAAACCCTACCCTTGACCCCTCGAACCCTCTGGCCGCCCTGCCCCGCCCCTTGTCGGCCCGTTGTCAGCCCTCCTGACGGCCCACTGCACGAGATCTGTCATCTGCCCTCACCCCTTCCTCTCTCCCTCCCTCCGGTTCTCTGTTCTCGGGCGCTCTCACCGAAAAACACACACACGGGGCGACTGATGCACACGACGGGTGCGTGACACGCTGAGGTGATGCATGGCGCTGTGATGACGGGCGGTGGTGGTGGTGGTTGTCATCTGTCTGTGTGTGTGGTGGGCTGCAGATGTCGTGTGGCGGTGCGGGGCGGCGGTGCCTGGCGACAACACTGCACTCGACCAACTGGTACGCAGAGAGATGGGCACACGGAGGAGAGGACACACACAACGGTCTGTGTCGCCTGTGTGGGTGCAGGTGTGACTCGGTGACGGTGAAGGTGCTGTCTGTATGTCTGTTGGGGAGGCCATGCCGATGGCGCTGGTGGGCAGCCCACTCGCGGATGGACCGATGTGCGCATCCCACTGCATGGCTTCTGTGTGCCTCTCTGTCTGTCTATTGCTGCTGATGTGTATGTGCCTGTGGGAAGGAGAGAGAGAGAGAGAGAGAGACGTCGGTTTGGTTCGTCTGTCCGTCGTGTGCATCGTTTGTAGGTGTGCTGGCTGTCGGCTGCTTGGTGGTCAAGTTACACGTTGAGTGTCGATCATCGCTCTCTGTGTTTGGTGGCCATCGAGCGGCTGACAGACACAGAAACACACACACACGCACACACACAGGAGTGGCCAGGCTGTTCGTTGACTGACCTCCTCACTGTCAGGGTATCGGTTGTGTCTGTCTGGTGTGACACCTCAGCCACCTGACGGCCGCTGTGTCATGTTGGGTGTCTTGCTGGTGATGTGTGTTGCCTTTGATTGATTGACTGAGTGGCTGCCATGTCCGCTGCGTTGAGGGGCGCTGACTGATGTGGGCAGTGAGCACACAGACAATCAGATGAGACTCACAGAGATGGATGTGTGTGTTGTTGTCTTCTGTGATGATCATCGCTCTCTGTGTGCGGTGGCCGTCGAGCGGCTGACAGACACACACACACACACAGATGGATGTGTGTGTGGTGTGTTGTATGGTTGAGTGAATGAGTGAACGTGTTCGATAAGGGACGGGTGGGCAAGACATCGACACACAGATGTGATAAGCTTTGCATGGCCAGTCCACTGATGGACAAACAGAGGATGGATGTGCACACCCTCTTGTGGTGCCGTCCATCCATTCAGCCAGTCAGTCCATCCCACTATGTAGGCCACACACCAAATGCGGCGACTTGAACAAAGAAGTAACTGCAAATCCCCCCCAATCGTCTAATCCCCTCTGCTACACCACATGCAGCCATGCACTAGGTGTGTTTATGTGAGGCATACAAAAGCCAATCGAACCTCCATAAAGCACTCATCTCATCGCACGCCAAATCGAAACATGCCCCCTTCCTCACCGACTATTCCCCATCACGTGAAGCACCTCTATCTCATCGGCATGAAAGAAGTCCGACCCGCCTAGCACTGCGTCGCCATACTCATCCCACTCCCCCGTATAGCCCTCAGGCACCATGCGGCTACCGGTGATTTGCATGCAGCTGCGGATGTCGGCAGCCGGCCGGTCACTGTCACCGTGGCCTAGACCCAACGACAGCCACCACCCGATCCTCACACCCGCACCCCTCGCACCCCGCTGCCTCCCCGCCACCGCCACCCACTGATCCCCTCGGTCGATGTCGATCTTGGTCGGCTCGGGGAAGTGGCCGGCCAGCGAGAACCACCACAGGTCACAGTCGTACTTATGCCAGTCGGTCGGGTCGTCGGGCAGCTCCAGACCACAATTGATGAAGACGCCGAAGACGTACTTGCCCTTTCTGATTACAAACACGAGAGGCTCTGCGTCGCCCACACTGTCCAGCAGGTCACCGTAAGTGGTGCCGTGCACCGACGTCCTACGCCACACACACACACACACCTCTCTCTCTCTCTCTCTCTCTCTCTGTGTGTGTGTGTGTGTGATTGCCTACCGGTACAGTGAGTTGAGTTTTGTGCCATTGTCATTGCCCATCAAGTCGAGCAGCCCCTCATACTCTGCGGCAGACAGCGACGTGCCGCCAGGAGGGGACACCTGCACACGACGCAGACGGACCTGGACACACAAGACAGCCATGCACACCAGAGTATCGAAGGAATGGATTGATGGCCTCCGTGTGTGGTGCACCTGCTGTCCCTCTGCGCCAACACACGTCAAGCTGACAGTCATCATCAGCAGCGCAGCACACGTGGAGAGCTGTGCCATCGCCTGGACGACAACCCTTCCACCTAGCTGGGTGCGCTGAAACTGTTCGAGAGCCCAGCCCCCTTAAGCTCTCACCGCAAATGCCACGGGGAGGCAGCGTGAGCGCAGATAGGAAGCAGCGGCTGCCCTCAGTTGCTAAGGTCCACTGACCGAAGCTGCACAAAAGAAAGCGGTGCGTGTTGTGATACCTCGATGATGAACAAGACAGCAGTGAGTGAGATCAGGGAGAATAGATCAGAGAGACTCTCTCCCTCTCGGGGCTCATCGCTCGGGAATTGCAGATCTCTCCACTCAGACTTCTTGTAAAGCTCTCCCCATTGACGCTCCCGCCGACTCGCCATCTTGTGTGTGTGGAGGGCAGAGAGAAGGGCGGTGCGAGTTGGAGGAACAAGCTTTTCCTCTCTCAGCCCTCCGTTCTCTCACTGGATGGTCCTCTGGACTCTCACTGGACAATCTCGTGCACCGAAAAGGCCAAATGAATGTGTGAGCTTCGAGAAAAACGGCAATTCGATCGTCACTCGATCACCGACTTCCGCAAATTGATTTTCTTTTTTCATCACATTGACCGCTCCGCAGTGAGACCATTGACACGACAGAAGAGACAAACAGCGAAAAGAATGCGGCAAAGGCTGGGGGTCTGGTGGCCCACAGCTCGTGGGGTTCAGGGTAGAAAACCCCACCCTTGACCCCTCGAACCCTCTGGCCGCCCTGCCCCGCCCCTTGTCGGCCCGTTGTCAGCCCTCCTGACGGCCCACTGCACGAGATCTGTCATCTGCCCTCACCCCTTCCTCTCTCCCTCCCTCCGGTTCTCTGTTCTCGGGCGCTCTCACCGAAGAATACACACACGGGGCGACTGACACACACGACGGGGTGAGTGACACGCCGAGGTGATGCATGGCGCTGTGATGACGGGCGGTGGTGGTGGTGGTTGTCATCTGTCTGTGTGTGTGGTGGGCTGCAGATGTCGTGTGGCGGGGCGGGGCGGCGGTGCCTGGCGACAACACTGCACTCGACCAACTGGTACGCAGAGAGAGATGGGCACACACACACATTGGGACACAGGCAGGACTCACACACACAAATGTCTGTCTGTCTGTCTGTCTGTCCACAGAGTGCGGTGTGGCTGTCTGAGTGGCTCTCTGATGGCTTCGACGCGCTGATGGCGATGATGTGTGCTGAAGGGAGAGAGATCGGCTGATGAGCCGACGGACGGGCTGACTGAACTGAACTGAATCTCTCACGATGTCGCCTTTTGGTCGTATGTGCGTCGATCTCACTGTGTTGTGTTGTGGGGCTTCGCGTGTCGGTCGGTCTGGCTGCCATTGTCATTCCACCACCTCCCACCTCTCAGCCGTCAGCTGCCATGAGTGTGTCGGCTGGTGAGTGGGGGGCGGGGGAGAGATGACAGACAGACAGAGAGGGAGGATTGGCTGGCTGGCTGCACAAAGGGATCGCTGTGTGGGGTGGCGGCTGCCGTCTGTCTGTAGTATGGTCTTGAGTGACGGTTGCTCGCGAGAGTGTTGATCTCTCGTCGATGCATCCGTCACACACGGCCGGCTCACAGACAGACAGGCCGACACACATACACACTGATCTGCCTGAGTGAGAGAGACCGTTTTGGTTTTGCCAGCTGTGTATGGTTTTCTTTGCGTGTGTGTCCTCCTCCCCTCTCTCTGTGGGCATCTCGTAGGAGTCGGCAATGCAAGAGCGTCAGCCCATGAAGGGTGTTGGTGCATTAGGGTTGCCGGGCGGTGACAGAGATGCGCACAGGGGGGCGAGCGAGGGAATGGACACACACACGACTGCTTAACCATCCCACCAAATGAGGCAGTGGTGTTGGTAGCGCACACACACGCTCACAGAGAGAAGAGAGAGAGATCTGTCTGTTTGCCTGGCTCATGAGGCAGCGGATGTGTCTTCTTGCCATCCGTCTGTCTGTGTGTCGTACTTGTACACCCACTCGTGTTGACGGATTGACGCAGTCTGCGTGGGAAGGAGAGAGAGGGAGAGATATGGGACGGCACACAGAGAGAGTGAGAGAGAGGAAGGTCAGTCTCGTTTTTTTGGTGTGCCCGCCATTCGTTCCGCTGTTTGGCTGCCTGTTGGTGTCAGTCATGGGGCACTCGGCTGTGAGTCATGTGTGTCTGTCTGTGTGACTGAGTGGTGGCGATGATGTGTGCTGAAGGGAGAGAGATCGGCCGATGAGCCGACCCCCGCTGCCCAATAAGTACTGACTGCCTGGCCTTAGCTGACATCTCTCTCTCTGTATCTCCCTTTGTTTCTCTCTCGTGGCCCTTTTGCGTGTGGGTGTCGGTCGTCGACTGACGGACGTCAGCCGGACAACACGAGAGCTCATTATGCGGCGGTGTGCGGCGGTCTGATGATGGGCTTTGGTGTCTGCGAGCAATGGTACACCGACAGACACACAGAGAGGGAGGGACACACAGACGGACACACAGAGAGGGAGGGACACACAGACGGACAGAGAGGGGCGGCCGATGACGTCTGTGTGTGTGTGTCAGGTGTGGTTGGTGTGCTGATTCACTCGCTGGAACAAAGCCAGACGACGGCCGAGCGGCTGCCGCTGTGAGATCGGCCGATGAGTCGGAACTGACTCTCTATCTCTCTGTCGCGTGGACGGCCTCGATGGAGTGACGGCTGACCGATCCATCAGCCAACACGCACTGGTGGGTGCGCAGCGATGCATCCCCTCTGTCGCCATGTGGCTGAGTGCCGCCCTGCCCTCTGTGTGTGTGTGTGTGTGTGTGTTGTCAGGAGGGCATCTCAAGTTGGGTGCTGGCTGTCGTCATTCATCTCTGTCGCCGATCGGTTTGTTCTTCAGCACACATCGCCCACCGCTCACTGTGTGGACCAGCTGCTGCTGCTCTGTGACCGAATGGCTGGCTGCCTGTGGGTGTGGGTGTGGGTGTGAGTGTGAGTGCATGTGGTGCGATCCGGTCCGCTGCCGGCCGATTTTGATGTGATGCTGCGGCCGATGTGTGAGTGTGTTTGGCTGCCCAGCTGACTCACCTGCCGGCCATATCTCTTTTAGTGTGTCTGCCGGTGTGTGCCGCGGGTGACGGCCGTGAGGTCAACTCTTTCCATGGATAAGCATGTGTCTGAGTCAGTCAGTCGATTGATCAGATCGTCAAGTTGCCTCGGATCAATCGTCAAGATGCCCACAGAGGGAGAGGGTGGACACACACGCATGCAGGAAAATAACACAGAGTACCACAGACACGATGGACACACCATTATACAGACACCCATGTCAGACAGAACACACTCGCCCAGGCGAGTGAACGGAAAAACACATCGGCCTCTCTCTCTGTCCCACACACACACAACAATGAGACAGGCAGGCCAACGTGTGTGTGTGTGTGTGACTGTGCTGGTCCTCCTGTCTGTCTGTGAGCCGGCCGTGTGTGACAGATGCACCGACCAGAGATCAACACACTCTCGCCAACAACCATCACCGCATGGCAACAGACAGACGGCAGCCCAGACACCGCACAGTGAGTGGGTGACTGTAGTGAGTGAGTCCATTGACTGATAAACAGAATGGATGTGCATACCCTTTTGTGGTGCCGTCCATCTTCATCCAGTCCATCTATTATATACACACACACCACAACACACACCACATGACGTACCACATGTGGCGGCTTGAATAAAGAAGCAAATCATATTTGCCCAGACGACTCCCCGCCTCACCGACTCGACCACCCTCTCACCTACTGCCCGTCAACTACGTGCAGCACCTCTATCTCATCCGCATGGAAATACTTTGACCCACCCAGCACTGCCCAGCCATTGCTGTCCCTCGCCCCTGTATAGCCCGCAGGCACATGCCACCTCCAGTTGTATTGACGGCAGCTGCGGATGTCGGCAGCCGGCTGGTCACTGTCCTCATCGTCACCCAACAACAGGAACCCACCGATGGACACGATGTACTTATTCGCACTCCACACACTCCCCTCTCTCCCCGCCACTAACACCCGCTGCATCTCTCCATAGATCTCTATCTTGGTCGGCCTGGCGAAGTGGCCGGCCAGCGAGAAATACCACAGGTCACAGTCGTACCAGTGCCAGCTGGTCGGATCGTCGGGCAGCTCCAGACCGCAATTGATGAAGGCGCCGAAGACGTACTTGTCCTTTCTGATTACAAACACGTCGCACACACTGTCCAGCAGGTCATCGTAAGTGGTGCCGTTCACAGACGTCCTACAACACACTCTCTCACACACACACACACACAGATCTCTCTCTCTCTGCCCATAGCTGTCACGATCCCAGCTGTTGGCATGATGTGTGTCTACCGGTAGAGTGAGGTGAGCGGTGTGGTCTCATTGCCCCTCAGCAGGCCGAGCAGCGCCTTATACTCTGACGCGGACAACGATGTGCCGTTAGGCGGGGTCACATACTGCATTCGACCGCCACCGTAATATCCATCTACATACAGCACCTCTATCTCATCACCGTGGAAAATCCTCGACCCACCCAGCACTGCATGGCCATTGCTGTCCCTCGCCCCTGTATAGCCCGCGGGAAGGGGGGACCTGTGGGTGAGCTGATGGCAGTTGCGGATGTCAGCAGCTGGCTCGTCAGGGCTCCTCTCACCCAGTCGCAGCCACCAGCCAATCTCCACATTCGCACCATACACACTCCCCTCCCTCCCCGCCACCGACAAATGCTGATTGTATTCGCCGAACTCGATCTTGGTCGGCTGGGGGAAGTGCCCGGCCAGCGAGAAATACCACAGGTCACAGCTGTACTCGTGCCAGCCGGTCGGGTTGTCGGGCAGCTCCAGACCACAGTTGATGAAGGCGCCGAAGACGTACTTGTCCTTTCTGATGACAAACACGAGAGGCTCTGCGACGCCCACACTGTCCAGCAGGTCATCGTAAGTGGTGCCGTCCACAGACGTCCTACGCCACACACACACACACACACAGACGGAGAGCCATCTGCCAGCTGTTGGAGTCATGGCATGATGTGTGTGCGTACCGGTAGAGTGAGGTGAGCGGTGTGGTCTCATTGCCCCCCAGCAGGCCGAGCAGCGCCTTATACTCGGACACACACAGGGACGTGTTGCCAGGCGGGGACACCTGCAGGCCACGAAAATGGGCCTGAACACACGAGTCAGCCATTTTCACCAAAGCGAATGAGTGAATGGGTCGTATACGGGTCATGGGTGTGTGCACTCACCTGTTGTGCGGGTCTTGCCTCCGTGGCGACACAGGTCGACGCCACAGCGAGAAGCATCATGAAAACAGCACTCCGCACCATCGCGTCGGGAACAGAAGGACGACAGGGAATCTTGTTTGGTCGGGTCAACGAGGCAGCCGGCAGATGAGGTCAGAGAGGTGAAGGAACAGACGAGAGGACATATCACCGAATAGTTGATAGATCCCAAGCGGACATTCGGGCCGAAAGCGTCCCAACCGGACGGGAGACTCCACCAGCAGCAGCGCAGCACACCAGGGAGGAGATATCAGAGAGAATCTCTGCCTCTCGGCTGCTCTCGTTGCAGATCTCGCCGCTAAAACTTCTTGGAAAGTTCAGCCACCTTGCCCATTGTCGTAGGGTTCCCAAACCCTGAACCCTTTTCCTTCCGCCGCGATTTCGGCATAGATGATGGACAGCAGCAAGCTCCACCACCCAGCGGACGAAGCGCTCGTGGGCGTGAGCCAGTACTCCAAACAGCAGACCCAGCCCGGCACCACTGAACAGGGAGAGGGCGGCGGCAATGGCGGAGGGGGAGGGAAGGGCATGAAAAGGGGGTGGACGCGTGAGCTGTTTGTGGGGCTGCTAGGGGCGCAGGGCGTGTTTGTCTACATCAACTTCATATTCGCCAACTTCTCGGTCGGTTCGTGGTCAAAGGCATATGGAAGATGACGAGGGATGGATGGATGGGTGCAGGGTGCGTTGCTGACGACAATGGCTCTGCTGGCGGGCATCTACACGCACTGCGACTGCCGCGTAAGTGCCTGTTTGGGTGCTGACGCTCTCTCCCTGTGTGTGTGTGTGTGTGTTTTGTGCAGGTCGCCACCTTCCTCCTCAACGCCCTGGTGCAGGTGAGTGAGGCTCTCCCCTGAAAATGGCCGCAATCCGCCATCCATGACGTGTCCATGGGTTGGTTCAGTTTGTGTTGATGATAGTGGTGGCTGTGAGCGTGGCGGTGGAGTTCCCCGGCTTTGGCGCGTACCAACAACACGAGTACGATAGACAGAGAGAGGGGCAGCGAGAGGGAGGGAGGCAGGGAAGATCTCGTGGACGCGACGCTGTGTGTTTCTTGGGGTGTCTGTCGTGTTGTGCTGTGGTGACTCTGTGTGTGTGTGGTGTGGTCAGGACACTCCACTCGGTGTCGATTGGGCATGTGCCGCTGATCTTTCTGTTCGGCGTCTACTCACTGTATCTCGCCATCAACGAGTGGCTCTTCCCAAAGAGGTATACATGTCAGCCACACACACACACAGAGAGAGAGAGAGAGAGAGATGACAGCACATGCAGTAGCCCCCAATCCCCCCCAATGCGCGTGGATGGATGGCCCATTCTCTCTCTCTCTCTCTCGTGTGTGTGTGTGTGTGTGGCGGCAGCCTGCCGGTAGAGACCCAGGGCCCTCTCACCCAGATCGGCGACGCCGGCAGCCAGACGGCTCACAGGTGGGCATCAGCACACTGATTGACCCATGTATCAGTCAATCACATCAGGCAGTGTGTGTGTGTGTGTGTGACAGCGAGTACATGGTGAAGGGCACGTTGGCTGCCGAGAATTCGCATTCGCCGGCGTACAGCACGCAGCAGCCGATTCCTTAGCTGGGTGGGAAAGAAGGGATCATCTCTCGTCTGTATCTGATAAACAGCCGGTTGGCCAGACAGTGTGTGGTGGGTGTGGTGGATGGGTGTTGTTGTGCAGCGGTTGGAGGGCGGCGGGCTGTGTTGTATATTGATGTGATGTATGCTTCTTTCTCCCTGTGTCTGTGTGTGGGTGGGTGGTGGACTGTGCGTGTGTGCGTGCGTGTGTGTGTAAGGGGTGTGACTGACTTATGACACGCCTCAGCATCAATCAAATGGCGAGATCTCCGTGTTTGGATACTCACACATCACACCAGCTAACAAGAGTACAACACACACTCCCAGACAGCAAGGGTCACCTCTTACCCACCTCACACACACACACACATACACACATACAGACAGACAGACGCGCACACACAAATGGTGGTGCCCGCAACCGACAAACACACCACAGACAGACAGACAGACAGACACACAGACACACACGCCCATCTAGCTGAGCTCTCCATCTTGCTCTCGGTCGTCCCCCTCCCCCTCCCCCTCCCCATCCCCCTCCCCCCTCTCTGTGGCTGCGGCTGCGTTGGGTGTTGTGGCTGCTGGTGTGTGGGGGTGGGTGTGGCTGTGCTGGGCGTCAAACAGCACCGTTTCCTCGTGAAGGGGCGTCTCAGAATCAATGTGGTCATGGTGGTCACCCCTGAATCCCACACACACAGACGCACACAGAGAGAGAGAGAGGGAGAGGGATCCGTCGATGTGTGTGTGTGTGTGTGTGTGTCTATTGGGTGCCTACGTGTGTGTGGTTGCCACTGAGAGAGGTGGCGGTGGTGGGGGAGGGGGAGGGGGCGCTGCTGATGAGCTTGACGGCATCAGATGGTGATGCCCATGGCCCAGCTGACGCCTAAACCACCCATTCACAGGACAGGAATGCCCCCGCCACACACACATCCACCCACACAAACAACGCACCCGTGCCGACCTGAACTCGTCGCCAATGGTTTGGAGGTCTGTCCGCAGCCGTATGTTGTCGAGGAGGGTCTCCTCCATGATGCGCTCCATCTCTGCCGGCTTCAGGGAGCGATACGCGCCCTGATCCATCGACACACAGAGAGAGAGGGGGGGGGGGGAGAGAGAGGCACCTTCTATATCTCTCTCTCTCTCTCTGTATGTGTGTCTGTGTGTGTGTGGGTGTGGGTACCTTGTTTCGGTTGAACAGGCTGCCGATGTTGCGCCCACTGGTGGGCGGCGCGCGAAAGCTCTCTGCGCGTGCGACAGACAGACAGACAGACAGGTGTGTGTTGGGGGAAAGGGGTGTGGTGGAGGGGCGTGGGGCTGTCTTGCCTTCGTGTGCGAGGGCGTATTTCTTGAGGAGGTGTGCGATGATCTCGCTCTTGCCCTTGAGGTCCATCTGCACACACAGAGACAGACAGAGGGAGAGAGAGACAGAGAGAAATGAGGGAGGGATGTGTGTGGGTGTGGGTGTGGGCGGAGTGGGTGAGAAACAGGTCGACCTTGAGGGCATTTTCGCTGTCCTGCAGCTTTGCCAGGTCGTCCATAAGCCCTGCGGACAATACACAAGACATAAGAGGGATGCGCGCAGAGACACTCACTCTCTCACCGTTTGTGAGGCTCTCCAGCTCCGCAACACGGGTCCGCAGAATCTCTTTCTCCTACACACCAACCACACACACACATACACACACACACGGAGAGAGAGAGAGAGTGGGGGGTGTCTGTCTTGATGTAATGAGCACCTTTTGCAGTTTCTGCAGTTTGGTGATCTGGAAGGCACTCGCCCCTTGTGTGCTGCTGCTGCTGCTGCTGCTTGATGACGGCTCGCCGGCAGTGTGGTGGTCGCGGTGGTCTGGGCGCTCGTCCCTACACACACACACACACACACACAGAGAGAGAGAGAGAGAGAGGGAGAGAGGGATGGGCTCTTCGTCGCGAATATCTCTGTGTCTGTCTCTTTCTCTCTCTCTGTGTGTGCGCACCGTTTCTCTGCGTGTGTGCCATTTCCCCTCTCCCCGTGTGCCGCTGCATCTTCATCCTCGTCGATGTCTTCGTCGGTGAACTGGAAGTGCAGCTGGCTGTCCATCGCCTGCGCCAACAGACGCTGGCACTCGCGGTCGGCCTGCAGAGAGAGAGAGAGATAGAGAAATGGGCGGCGGAGGGATGGTGTGTGTCTGTTGATCTGTTTGTCGGCAGTTGGGTGCTCTCTCTCTGAGTGCGTGTGTGTGAGAGGTTACTCTGTTCTTGAGGTCCCTCTCCGTCTTGAGCAGCGCCTTCATCTCTTTCAGCTCCTGCCTGCAGCACCCAACACACACACACAGAGAGAGAGAGAGAGCGCGAGAGCGATGGACGGAGGGAGGGAGGGTGTGTGGCTTGCCTTGCTCTCCGTTCGCTGATGGCCTTCTCGATCTTGAGCTCATCCAGCTCGAGACGCAGCTGACACACAGACACACAGACGCACAGACCCCCCTCCCTCTCCCTCTCTCTCCCTCTCTCTGTGAGTGGGGGGGCTACTGCAGCTTCGACAGAGTCAGTGGGTGGCGGTGGTGGTGGCGGTGGTGGTGGTGCGAGTGCAGCTGGCGACGGCGACAGCGGCTCCTCCCTCTCCCTCTGACTCCTCTCTCTCTCCTCGCCACCGGACAGGCTCTACAGGCACACACATCTCTCTATCTCTCTCTGTGTCTGTGTGTGTGTTGGGGTGGGGGGGCACATACCTCCTGCACACTGATGTCCATGTCGCTCAAGTCAGAGGGGCCGACTGCCTGCAATGCGACGCATCCACCCATCATGACGCGATGGAGGGATGTGTTGACGTTCGTCGTCTCTCCCTCTCTCTCTGTGTCCCTATCTCTGTGTGTGTGTGTGTGTGTGTGCCTCACCTGTTGGTCGATAGACGTGTCGCTCGCAGAGGGAGAGCGCTCCCCTCCTGCTGCTGCTGCTGCTGCTGGTGGTTGCCGCGGCTCTTGCTGTGAATGACAACACCCACACACATACATACACACACACAGACAGACTTGGGAAGCTGTGTGTGGCTGTGGCTGTGTGTGTGTGAGGGGCGTGTGTACGTGTTGGAGAATCTGTTCCTCCCGCATTCGGCTCTGCTCGGCCCGCAAGGCCAGCAGCTCGTCACGCAGTTGCTGCACAAACCACACAGACATAAAGAGACACGGAGAGAGAGCCAGCAAAGAAGGCATATGTGTGATGTGTCTGCATCTCTCTCTCTCTCTCTGTGGGTGTGGGTGTTGTCAGCGACCTCACCGTGTTTTGCGTCTCCCGCTCCTTCAGCCGCTGCGCCAGGTCCTGTTGGTTCGTTGACACACACCCATTCAATAGCGGAGTGTGTGGCTGTGTGTGTTGGGGGAGAAGGGTCACCCACCTGGATGGCGCACTTCATCTCGTAGGCCTGCTTGGCTGCAGAGGACTGCTCCTCTGCACCCAACCACACACACACACACAGACAGAGAGAGAGAGAGAGAGAGAAAGAGAGAGAGAGAGAGATAGTGCAGTCGAGACACACATGGACAACACACCTCTACCCACCTAGTCTCTGCATGAGCATCGTTCTCTGCTTCTCCAAAGCCGCCTCGCGCGTGCGGAGATCCTCCAACTACACACACACACACACTCTCTCTCTTTCTGTCTCTGTGTGTGTGTGTGTCTGCGCACCTTCTGGGCGACATTGTGGCCCTCGCTTGTCTTGTACTCGGTGACTTGCATGGTCAACCTGGTCGTGTGTGTGTCACACACACAGAGAGGGAGAGGGATGGATGGAGGAAGGGATGGACGTGTGTGTGCGGTGTGTGGGGGCTGTGGACTCACTGCTGGATTTGGAGCGTCTGGCGGTCGACGGTCTCCCTCAGTGTGTCGAGCTCCATCTACGGACACACACACACACACATACACACATTTGTGTGTGTGCGCGCGCGTGGTTTGCTGGCAGGGAAGCCACTCTCCCTCTCCCTTTCTCCCTCTCTCTCTCTCTCTCTGTGTGTGTGTGTGTGTACCTGCTGCCTCTGAATCTTCGTCAAAAACCGCTTTTGCGTCTCCGAGGCCTCATCGGACACACCACCGCCCTCCGACTCGCTCATCTGCACACACACAGACAGAGACACAGACAGAGAGAGAGGGGGCTGAGGCATTCGTGTGTCGCTTGTCGTGTGTGTAGGTGCCTGCAGAGTGGTGTCGGTGGAAGCTCTCGCTGGATGGAGCTGTGGTGGCTGTGGGGCCTCTCTCTCTGTCTGCTGCATCTCTGTCTGCAAGTGCTCAGTCAGCAGGGCGTAGAGACCCTCCAACACCCAAGACACAGTATCTTCTGCACACACACACAGAATCACGCCCGTGTGTGTGTTTGCCTGTGTGTGTGGGTGTGGGTGCAGACCTTCTTGTGTGTCTGTGACTGTGGCTGGCGGTGCGGATTCTTCCTCTGACGCCTCTGTCCACACACACACAGACACACACAGAGAGGGATGGATGGACTGCATGTGTGTGTGTCAGCGAGCGCACCTTCTGCCGTATCAGTCTCAGTCGTGCACTGTTTCTCTCTCTTTCTCTCGTCTAGAAATGCCTTCAACGCCTCAGGAGTCACCCTACACATACACACCACACACAGAGAGAGAGGTGTGTGTGTGTGTGTGTGTGGAGTCGGGCAACCGTACTTGTCCTTGATGGCTGCCAGCAGGCGGTCGAACGATGCTGCTGCTGCTGCTGCTGGGGGGGCTTCATGCTCATGGTCATCGTCATGCTGCTGCTGCTGCTGCTGCTGCTGCCTCTCTCTCTCCTTCTCCTTTTCGGCTTGAGTCTGCTCGTAGTACTCCTTGAGGGTCGTGCGGAGGGCGGTCTCCTGCTCCTGAAGACAGAGAGAGAGAGACAGAGAGAGAGAGTGCGTGTGTGTGTGTCTGGTGTGTTTGTGTGTGTGTGTGTACCTTGTAGAGCTCTTCGGCCTGCTCGACCATCTTCTCCTTCTCAGACACAACCTGCTCATAGGCCTGCAGGTCAGTCACCCGTAACACACACAGACACCTCTCTCTCTCTCTCTCTGTGTGTGTGTGTACCGTACCGTCTTGAGCGAGCTCAGCTGGCCGCGCAGAGAAGAGATCTCGGCCTGCAGGGAGGACTCGTTTTGCTGCTGCGCACACACACACATACACACACACACAGACGCACACAGTGACGTGCAGACAGACAGACAGACATCAGACCGACCATTGGCTCAGTGTCCATCTGCAAGAGCTGCTGCTGCTGCTGCTGCAGCTTCTTGGGCGTCAGGCGGTGGAAGAACTTGCCAGCTACACACACACAGACAGACAGACAGACAGAGCGGCATATGTGTGTGTGTTCGTGTGCTTGTGTGTGTGTGTGTGTGTGGCGTGATGGACCTTGTGAGCCGAAGCTGACATTATCCTGCTGCAGCTTGACGCACCGCTCCTCGAGCGCATAGTTTGCCGCCTAACATACAGACACACACACACACACACAGACAGACAAAGAGAAAGAGAGAGAGAGAGAGATGATGATGATGGACACACACACACAGGCGCAGCAGATGCCAACCAACCACCCACACACTCCACACTCTGTAACCCACCTTCAGCTCCAGCAGTTGTTGCTGCACCATTTCACACAGACAGACAGACAGACACCGACAGACAGACAAACAGACAGACACACAGACAGAGAGAGATGAGATGGATGGATGCCATTCCGCTGATCTGTCCTATTGTCTGTCTGTCTGTCTGTCTGTCTGTCTGTTGGCACCTCACTCCCTCACTCCCTCACAGACCTGCAGCCGCCTGAACTCATCCAGCGAGATGGTATCCCTCTCCCTCTCCCTCTGGGCCGGACTCGATGCAGCAGCAGCAGCAGCAGCAGCAGCAGCAGACGGCGGCTCAGAGGGAGATGCGGCAGACGTGCCGGCCTCCATCTCTCTATCCTTCTTTCTCCCAAAAAGAGAGAGATTGATTCGCACAACGCCAAATTAATGACTCGCAGCACGACGCAGCGAAGCGCGTAATCTCTCTCTGTCGTCAAAGAGAACGAACACCGAGGAAGATCTTCCCTGCGAATGCGGCTTAGCTCGCAGACGCAGAGACCGCCGTTTCGGAGTGAGGATGGAAGCGTAAAGGCATGAAGGTGAAAGAGCTCCTGCTGCACCGCCGGACCGCCGGAGCGACACAGTCGATGTGTGTGTGTGTGCTGCAGATATATCAAGATCCAGCGGCTGCTGCCCGCCACTGAGTGAGTGATCTGCCTAGCTGCCCTCTCTGCCATCCATGGAGGGCAAGCTGAGCCTGCCATACGTGAGCGTCAACAAGAAGCTGCCCATCCTCATGGGTATCATGTTCCTCTGCGGGTAAATGATGTAATGAACGACACACAGCCATCAAGCCATCAAGCCATTTCATTCTGTGTGCCAGGATGGGCTATGAGTACGTTTTGTGTAAAACGGGGTTCTACAACGTCTACACGGTGGGTCGGTCGGGTGGACAGTGGGCGGCCACGCACACACACACACACACACACAGAGAGAGAGAGAGAGGGGGCACGTAGAGGCTCTACACACATCAGTCAATCAGTCAATCAGTCAATCAGCCGCCATGATCGGATCGGTGTGTCTGTCAGGTGAATGAGGGCCAGAAAGCTGCTGAGCGGGACATCCGGCAGCGGGAGTTCTGGAGAGAAATACGAGAGAAGCAAGACGAAAAACTAGGTGGGTGAGCTCACCCAACAGACAGACAGACAGACAGACAGACAGAGAGAGAGAGCACACAGACCGGCTGACAGAGAGAAAGGGAGGGAGGCGTGTGTGTCGGATGCCCGTCTGTCTGTCGGTCGGTCGGTCTGTCTGTCTGTGTCGACATGTCGACATGTTGTGTGTCATGTCATTTAGCCGAGTACGAGAAGCGGCTGAAGCGTGACGTCAGCATCAAGGAGCCCACCGTGCCCTTCCCAAAGGACTTCGGCGAGAGGGAGAAACTCATCCAGGCAGGCAGAGGCAGGACACACACGCAACACCATGAATGCCCACAAACACGTTGATTGACAAATGCGCGTGTGTCTTTGTATGTTGGTATGGCATAGGAGAACAAGCTTTGACAACAAACCGGGGCCTTTGTGCAGTGGGAGTGGGTGTGAATGGCTGGCTGGCTGGCGGGGTGGGTGCGTGGGGTGGGGGGGGTTTGTCTGTCCATCACACCTTTACGTGAGTGACAGATTATGGGACGATGCGACGCGAGGCGCCCACGGCCATCGGTCGCTCTCCGCATGGATCAACACATCTATCTATCTTGTTGATGATCAGCACCAAGTATCCACCGTCTGTCTGTCCGTCTCTACACCTACATCCACACGCACCACTCGTAGAGAAGAACGTCGAGAGGAGGAAATTGACACAAACACAGACTCGTCCCGTAGGGAAAAATACTCAGACACAAACTGTACACTGAAGCCAGGCAGGCTCGCCCAGACAGACAGGCAGACCGACCGACAGACAGGGGGTGAAAAATCTCTCAGCTCATCACGTCCTCATGGACATAAAGACAGACAGACAGACATAGGTGTGTAGGTGTGGATGGACGGCCTAGTGTGTCTGCTCTAGTGCACTGTATGGCTTAGTTGGATAGCAACACGCACCTACACCCACCCACACACAGGCATGGATCGTAGTTCTTCTCATGTCACGTCTGACTGGATGGTGGCGCACGCGGCCTTGGCGGCCTCCTCAAAGTCGTCAATCACCTTAGTCACACACACACACACAGAGAGAGAGAGAGTGAGAGAGAGATGTGTGTGTGTGTGTGTCTGTGTGGGAGGCTTGATTTGACTTGCCTGGATGTCGATCTTTTTGTCTGTGTTGACCATCCTCTCGGCGATGATCCTCCGGCCCTTCTCGACATTCGTCCCTGCACACACCACACACACCACACCACACCACACACGCACCAAATGCACACACAAAGCAAATGGGCAAAGAAAGAAGCGTGCGCACCGTTCAGCCGCACGACGAGAGGGATCTTCAGCTCTACCTGAGACACACACACACACACACACACACAGAGAGAGAGAGAGAGGGGGAGACTGTGTGGTGTGTGTGAGAGATCTGCCCTACCTCTTCGGCGGCCTGCACAATCCCCTCCGCAATGAGGTCGCACCGCATAATGCCGCCGAAGATGTTGACCAGGATCGAACGAACCTGTCCACACACACACACACACACACATACACAGATGGAAACACACACATGGATGGACGGATGTGTCAGTGGACCTTATCGTCAGCCTGCAGGATGCGGAAGGCCTCAGCCACCTGCTGGCGGTTGGCGCCACCTACACACGCACACACACACAGAGACGCCCTCTCGTGTATGTGTGTGCTGTGTGTTGTGTGTAAGGGTATCTGTCTGCGCACCGCCGACGTCGAGAAAGTTCGCCGGGGAGCCGCCGTGCTTTTCAGTTCATAACCACACACACAAACACACAGATACACACATGGGGGCGTGTGTGTTGGGTGACTGTGTGTGTGTGTGGTAGGTACCAATTTGATGATGTCCATGGTGGCCATGGCGAGCCCAGCGCCGTTGACTGAATGAGAGAATGAGATAGTGGATGGATGGATGGATGTGTGTGTCGATGTGTGTGGGTGTGTCGACAGGTACCGAGGCAGCCAATGTTGCCGTCAAGGCCGATGTAGTTCAGACCTGCACACACACACACACACACACACACAAAAGGGCCCTTCTCACCCTGGCTGAGAGGTCCGATTGCATGCCTCTCTGTGTGTGTGTGCCATACCAGCCTTGTGTGCGGCAGCTTCCCTAGGGTCCATCAGCGACTCATCTGCCACCAACACAGACACACAGACAGGTCGATGCACTGCCGCAAGCCCCCCCCCCCCACACACACTGAGGCAGGCACCTTCCATCGAGAAGAGCTCCTGCTGCCGGTACTTGGCCGAGTCGTCGAAGGCGATCTTGGCATCCACACACATGACGGCATCGGGCGCCACGTCAGTAATGGCGAAAGGGTTGATCTCCACCTGCGTGGCGTCGCACGCCACAAACAGCTCGTAGAGCCGCTTGAGCTGCTGCGACACCTAAACTCCCACCACACACACACGCACACTCGTGTCACGTGTGTCAGGGATTGGTGGGTGGCTGACCGACCTTTGGCACACACGAGTCGTCGAAGCCGAGAGCAAGCGCGATGGCTCGCGCGTCATTGTCGGACACGCCAGTATCGATGTCAATCGGCCGCTGACGACCAGAACACGCAAAGCATCCATCCATCCATCCATGTGTGTGTGTGAGGGGCGAGAGCCATGACTGGTACCGTACCACGTGGATGGCGTCAGGGTCGGTCTCGGCGACCTGTTCGATGTCCATGCCGCCCTGTGTGCTGGCCACGATGACGGGCGAGGCGTACGAGCGGTCGAGGACGATGGCCAGGTAGAGCTCCTTGACGATGTTGACGCCCTCATGCACCAGCACCTTGTTGACCTCCTCACCCTGGGCACAGACAGACAGACAGACAGAGATGCCTTCCCTTCTCTCTATCTCTCTCTCTCTCTCTCTGTGTGTGTGTGTGTGTGTGTGCGCTTACGAGTTCGTCAGTCTGCTGTGTGATCAGTCGGTAGCCAATCATGTCTTTGGCGAAGTCGCGCACCTCTGTCGGCCTGCACACACCCACACACACCCACACCCACACCCACACACATGTGCGCAAATCAACACACAACACAGACACACAGACACACAGGCAGCGGCAGCGATGGTGTGTGCTCTGCCGCTGCCTACGTGGAGCAGATCTTGACGCCGCCCCTGAGCCCACTCGTGAGTGTGCCCTTCCCCCGGCCGCCCGCCAATATCTGACACTTGAGGATGAGATCAGTGGCGCCCTCTCGCTTCAGGCGGTCGGCAACTGACACACACACACACACGTGTCTGCCTCTCTGTGTGTGTCTGTGTGCGTTGGTTGTGCGGACGGACCTACCGGCAAAAGCCTCGTCAGCCGTGCTGGCAACGGCGCCTGTGGACGCAATGCAACGATACGCAAGGCAACGAAATGAGAGCGACCAAGAAAGTTTCCTCCTCTCGGCCGACTCACTGACCCTTCTGCACGTTGATGCCATATCGCCTAAGGAGGTCCTTCGACTGATACTCCTGCAGACTCAAGAAGCGAAGCTGCTGATGAAGCTGGTGCCCTGCACAGACAGACAGACAGAGATTGCGTGTCTGTGTCAGTCCTTTGTGTGGGCACCTACCTGGTGCTGCTGGTGCTCTTCTCAGACTCCTCACAGCCACAGCAGCAACGCCAAGCCGCTGTGGCAAGAGGGTGCTCATGACAGCTGACCTGACCTGATCAGATCTGATCTGATGTGGGCCTCACACACACAGATCTACGCATCCACAGGCGGCTGCTGCTGTAGATGAGGGGCGTTATGACGATCTGCAAGCAACTTCAAGCTCGCACGAGGCCGATCGACGGAAAGGGGATCGGATGAATGGGAATCAGCGTGGATGACATTGCTGCAGCGGCAGACGCCTGTGGGGAGCTTTCCTGCAATGAGAGCGGGCGTGTGGGGGGTCGGGAAATGGCGGGCATTGGTGTTGGTTTGCGGACAAAGGCGAGGGATTGAACCATCGGCCGCTCGTCCGTCGCTTGTAGGTTGGTCAGTGTCTATGTGTCTGTCGTCCCTGCAGCTCTCTGTGTGAGTCTGATCTCAATCAACGGGAACCGCTCTCTCCAACGTTCGATTCCCTCTGTGTCGGTGTGTGTGGGTTATGCAGCTTGATTCTGAGGGTTTGGAGGGACTGTCTGGCGATGAGGGCGACGCCCGAGCACAGCAGCACGCCGCAGGTGCGTATACCCATGGAGAGCAAACACCCCCATACACAAAGGCATCATCCAAGATGGCGCGTCATCGTGCTGTTGTTGTGTGTGTCCATAGGTGGTGACAGGGATGAGCACAAGAGCGGCCTTCTCGTTCAGCGCATGTATGGGTTGAGCCGACTCCACCACCTCAGCCCCAGCAAGGACCAGTGCCCGAGGTGCATGCCGAGGTGCAAATGACCGACGCGGACGGCGAATCAATACATGTCCGTTGCATGTGTTTGGCGACTTGATCGACAAGCAGGATATTCATGGACATGAATGAATGCCGCAACACGCGCATCAAATGGACGTGTGCATGAATGGTAGCTGTCGCTATCTGAGTGCCCCCATCTGTACGCACTGCCGGCAGCGCCAGACAGCAAGGGGGAAGGGAAGCACGGCGGCATTCGGGGGTGACACGGCGGCATTCGGGGGTGACACGGCGGCATTCGGGGGTGACACGGCGGGGATGGGTCACATACACACACCCACTCAATCGCTGTATGTATGTCGGCCTTCTCTGTCACCCAGACACCATCTCTGCGCGATCAAAGTCACACGCACACACACAGACAGACAGACAGACACACATCCATCCATCCATCCATCGTCACACACGCTCATGCAAAAGGAGAGGACGGCCGTCTACACACTGTACACGCAAAGGTGGGTGGCGGGGTGGATATCACGCACACACAGGTGGGTGTGCATGTGTGTGTGTGTGTCAGTATTATCATCAGCTACTTATCCGATGCGGCAGCTGTCGTCCTGGTACGGCCCCTCCAAAGGCAGGAAACCTGCAGACGTCAACACATCCATCCATCCATCCCATCCATCAGAGACGTGTTCATTGCATCGCTCACCCACCGGCATATTTGACAGGTGATTTGTCAGCGTTAGATCGCGCCTGCCATGGGACGGCATACGCCGGGCCGTACCTGCCGCCGCCCTCAGTCTCGACGGCCGGCGACGTCTGCGCACCTGCACACACACACATCACACACACGGGGATGCGCGAGCCCCTCCCTCCTCGTCCACAAAGCCAATCATTGGCTGGTACCGAGCACCGGACGCTGCACAGGTCGGTACTGCCACTCGCCAGAACTGACGTACGATGGGCCCTGTGTGTGTTGTTGACACACAGACAGGCAGACAGGCAGACGGACAGGCGGCTGACGTGCAGATGGATGTGTGTGTGAAGACGGGATGTGTGTACCGACCGGTGCAGTGTCTTTGGTGTAGTAGAGGGGCATCGAGTAGCCAGAGGGGCCAGGGGGGCCCGACACACCTGCCAAACCACACACACACACAAAGACACAGACACAGACACAGACAAAGAGGAGAGTTTGTCTGAACACGTGTGTGTGTGGATGCGCCGACCTCTGATGCCCTCGGTCTGTGTCTGTGTCTGCTGCCCATAGCCGCCTCTCAGAGCGAAGGACGACGCCGGAGGAGACGCAACTGACACACACAGAGTCACAGACGTACGGAGCCACACACACCACACACACACACCACACGAACTCCCCCTCTCTCTCTTTCCTTTTTTTGCTGCCTCGCCCACCTCTGTCATAGATACCCATGCCCAAACCACCTGCAAAACCCACACGCACCCCACCACACCCAGAAGGCCACACATAAGGCACGTCTGTGTGTGCGGCTGGATGCATCAATGGCTCTTTCCCACCCACCTACCCGTCGGCTTGCCCATCTGCTGCTGCTGCTGCTGCTGCTGCTGCTGGTGCTGGTGCTGGTGCGGCCCATACATCATCGACACGCTGCTGGGCGGCCCCGCCGCATACCCACCACCACCAGCAGCACCAGCACCACCGGCGGCACCAACACCAACACCGCTAACACCATACACCTGCTGCGAACCGCCAACGTACTGATGCACACCTGTCCATGAGATAGAGAGAGAGAGAGAGAGAGAGAGATGGGGAAAGGGAAACGAACTATAGCAATGCATCATGGGAACCGGTGCATCCATGTCCTTTGTACCGCCCATGCCGAGGCCGCCTTCTGGTGTGGGCTTGGACGGCATCGGCCCCAGGTACGGCTGGTTGGACAAACGGTCTGCATCAGTGCATGGGGAGAGGGGAGGAGAGGGGCATCCATCCATCCATCCGGCCGTGGGCATGAGAAACGAAGGGTGGTTTGCGTGTGGATTGTTCTCACCTCTGCCTGCGTCCCTCGTCGTGGGGTACATCTCTCTCACACAAACCAAACCAACGAAGCCAAAATCGCCTCTGACAACGCCCTCGCAAATGCGAGCTTGAAGTGCAGATCTCCTCGGATGTTTCTCTTTCCCTGCACTCGCCGAGTGCCCCAGTGTCACCTGCATCTACGCAACTTTAACGCCGCAGCTCCTCGCATTGGTCGCAAATCATCAAAGCGCCCTCGCAACGATGAGCATGAATCACAACTTATGCGTCACAGGTGGCCACGAAGCAACAAACAGGCGGACACACAGACAGATCTGCCGTTTGTCGGGATGTGTTGGTTGGACTGGACAGAGGAGGGCAAGTACCATGGCCGATGTGCCAAGAGCAAGAAGCACCATGGCAAGCCACAAGCAGCGACCACCACAGCCGCACCGATGCCAGGCAAACATCCGCCATCACAGCCGAACGACGTGGTGAAGCGGCCCTTGCAGAACGGGGTACGGCGGGTCACTGATGCAGGCACTGAATGATTGTGTGCCTATGGATTGGCTCTTCTGTGTATGTCCATGTGCGTGCCAGGTGCATCCAGTGGGCAAAAATGGGTCGCCTGTGAAGAAGGCCGCCAAGACAGAGGTGGGTGCACAAGGAGAGAGGGGGGGAGGGACAATCATAGCTTGCTCGCCCACCCATCATGGCTCCTCGGAGTGGGATGTGCGGTGGTTCAGGATGGACAGCAGCGGCAGATACGACGCACCCAGCCCACCAGCACCAACAAGAGCAGCAGCATCAACAGCACCCGAAGGCCATTTCCGTGACGAAGAGGCTGGTAAAGGATATAGAAAGGGCGGCGACCGAGGGGACGGAGGATGGCGCGCAGTGGGAGCGGTTTGCTCGTGATGTGTGCTTGGCGAGCGACAGACTGAGCTGCAATGAGGCCGTCATGGTGCTCTGCGCTTTTGCAAAGGCGGACGTGAGTCGGATGAGATGACTGATGATGGGGCGAGAAGGGATGTGTGTGTGTGGGTGTATGTGTGGCTGGCAGCGCAGGGATGCGGCCGTCTTCTTTGCCCTGGCTCCTGTGATTGTTCAGCAAATCGACACGCTGACGCCGGAGCACATATCGGTGAGAGTTGTAAAAAAGTACCCACACAGAGAAATGGTGTCTATCAACCTGTATGTCTGCCTGCCTGTGTCTGTTGCTCTGTCTGTCTGTCCGTGTGTGTGTGTGTGTAGATGGCCCTGAATGCCTTTGCGCGTGTAATCATCATGAACACCTACCTGCTTCAGGTCACCGCCAGTCGCAGTGACCGACAGACACACACACAAGGACATAGACAGACAGACAGACACAAACATGCGTTTGTGTGTGCTGTGACAGACGGTGGCCTCTCGCCTGTCGAAAGAGTTTCTCTGCTCGTTCTCTCCAAGAGCCACCGCAATCATCATGAACGCATACGCCAAATTCGGGTGGGTAGGTGGTTTGATATGGACGGATGGATCAGACGGACAGAGGACGCCACGCCCACCACACACATACACGTGATCGAATGAATGCAGGTACAAGGACGCTCGGCTGTGGGAGCTGCTAATTTGGCGTGCGACGGGCTGCATCCGGCGGAGCGACGGCAGGGACCTAGTCGCCATGGTCAGTCAGCACAG